AAGAGAGGGTGGGTTTAAGGAACTGGCTCTTGCCTAGAAAGCCTCTTGAAAAAATCCTCCTAAGGAGTCACTAAAATGCATTACGGTAGTTTTTTATCATGGAATTTCTTGGAAATTTTCAGCTCCTGGTGCCCAAGCACCCCCCAGTGCAGAGCTCAAAGCGTGCGCAGTGCTTCAGCGCAAAGGAACACGGGTGCCACCTGCTTGGCTAACGCTGGACAGGGGGATAAAAGCGCAGTACCAGGGGGTCTGCACTTTGCGACAGTAGTTCCGTGTACCCTAAAATGTTGTCATAAACCTGCAGCATGAACCGAATTCGCTGGGGAGCTGCACTGACTGGCACCGCTCTGGGTTCCACAAGCGCCTGGCCTCTTCTGTGCGTCCCACCTTGGGGCATTTCTCCTGTCCAGGACAGACAGGTACACAAACAGGGCTGGATCCTATTTAGGACGTGATTTCACAAAACCCAGTGGTAGACTGAGAGAGAGGGAAAAAAATATCCAAGAGCAAAGATTCCCAGACCAATTGTAAGTTTGCCTGCAGGTGCCACGGTAGAGGGACTGCTCACAGTGCAAATGCCCTGAAAGACAGAGATGGGACTTCTTCTCCTTGTTTTAATTCCAGCCACGTGTCCCTCCTTTGTGCCCTGGTTCCCTCTGCCCGCTCCCCTGACGGTGCTCCCCTCCGGTGAGGCTCCGCCTGAGCAGCACTGCTTTGGGCTGAGCTGCTGGGGTGGACGCTGTGGGGAGCGTCTCTTGGAAATAACTCAGGGGGCTTCCCACACGACACCTGTTCACCCACACGCTCTCCGTACCTCGCGTTTCTCAACTCATCTGCTTCAACCTAAACAAAGGGAGCCAGAGAGGAGTGTCACTGTGATCAGTTTTTCTCTCCCAGTTTTACCGTCTCCAGTTTTGGTTTTTGCCTCTGAGGAAGGCAGCACCCACTGGGGCGGGTTGAGAAACACCGAGGGAGTGGGAGACCGTGGGAACGGGAAGCCTGAGCGCCCGCGCTCCAGCAGCCGTGTGCCGGTGATTCACTGCACTGCCTTTCACCCGGCTCCCAGCCAGCGTGGTTACTACTGGGAAAGACAAAATCTGACGAGAACATTTTCACCTGACCAGTGTCTCTATGGGGGTCCGAAGAACCGGCTCCTCCTCACGAAGGGCTGCCTTACACATCGGCACACACCGTATCCCTCGCCTGGCCTGCTGAGAGGCCGAGTTAATTACGTTTGCAAGGATCCCCCATCTCTCTCCTGCTGCAAAGTCTCCTACTTCATTTTTAACACCCCTCAGCACTGAATCATGCTGCTCCCTGTACTGCCAGCTGTCCCCTGAACCTACGCCCCCGCTTGCCCTGCTGGTTTCACACCTCTTGCAGGATATGACAGCTCTTTCTCAGACCTCTCTATTCAGGGAACCAAAGGAACAGCTCAAATTAAAGACTCCTCCCGACAGAGCAGCGCTGCTCCTCGCACCTCCTCTAAGAGCCTGCCAAGTTAATCCCAAAAATGTTTCTTCTGAGTGCATGCTTTCTGGCTTTCACCACAAGATTTTCACACCTTACAGCAACACCCGGGAGGCTACTTTGGAGGTCAGATACAACCTTCTTGGAGGAGCTGTCGTCTGTAGGTGCTGGAGCTGCCGCCTTGCACCATCGCAGCAGCTCTGAGGACTCCTCATACCTCCTTCTTTCCAAAAATATAACTTACTTTTAGTATTTTTACTGCCAGTTACCTAATTATCTAGCATCTATGCATCTAATCCTGCAGAAGAAATCCGACTGAAACAAGTCTTTGTGAGAGCAAAGCAGAGTGAAACTTGAGGAGTCCGAAGTGTGGGAAGGAGAATCCACCCGCAGCGAGGCGGCTCGCTCCGGGCTCCCAGAAACCGGAGCTGCGGCACAAACACACAAACACCTGGGTGCAACGTGTTGTAATGCGCTGTGCAATTCTGCTGCTGATGTAAATGTTTACATTGATATGCTATCATCACGCACAGGAATAAGTCAAAATGACTGCTTTTACTACTCAGCGTTGATCCTTACCTAAAATGTGTGCCCTTCTTGGCAAGGTGTTCTTCCAGTGTTCCTTGCACGCAGCGAGTCTGCACGGGTAACGCAAATAAGCTTCATAACCAAGTTTATTTGCTCCACGTGACAGTATGTGGCCAATACAAACCCCCTGCCCACTTAAAACCATATCTACTTATTCATGGCCCTGGTGCTCGTTACAGACAAAAAGAACACAGAATTTAGACAGCTTCTTAGCAAACCCTGGAACAGAGCGCCAGTTCAAGTACGTATTTTCCATTTTCATATACAAAATCCACATCCAGGTTATCACTAGCATTTGCCTACTGAGACAACAGGCTTGGAATAATAACAATGATGCAAGAAAACTTATCTGGAGGAACAGAGCTAAAAACCCCAACCCATCGCAAAGCAGGAGTAAGAACTACAAGTACTGTAGCGTCAGGCGGTCAAAGCTTAGGGCACGCTGAGAGCGGGACTCCAGCGGTATGAAGAGCACTGAGGAGAACCTGGCACGTTTTATTTGCAGGCGTTTTGATAGGCATTAATCGTCGTAATAAGCTTTAATTTTATGAGCACAAAATGTTGCAATTCGGATACGTAGCCAGTATTCTGATTAGTGCTCTGAGAAGAAAATTGCGGTACATGTCGGAACACGGCCTTCAGAACAGCCTCAGGCAAAAAGCGATGTGCACACGCACTCCCCTGTGTCTGGCTTCAGAGCTCCCAGAGCAATTCCTTCGGCCATCTGAAGGCACAAATTTCAAAACAGCCTGTGCATATCTTCCGCTGATGTCTCTTTTGTTGAACATTAATTGCCAGCCCTAAGAACTGCTGAGTGCTACCCGGGCTGTACTCCTGGGCTGCAGAACCCCTAGAGCCAAGCGTGCTGCTGCTCTGCGCTGCCGGGGGCCGGAAGGAAGGAGCAAACCTTCCCAGAGCCCCTCACCTCAGAGGGGATGGCTGAGTGGTTTTTCTCCACTTTTACGCGGGGGTCGCGCAGGTTGCTTAGGCAGCCGTTTGTTCAACGCGTCGGGGGGTTGTGGTAATAATCCTCTGCATGGACAATGGAGCAAAGGCAGTAGCACCACCAGGATTTACTCCACTTAGACCGGCTGAAGTCCAGAGCTCCAACTCCCAAATCCTGGCTTAGCGGATATGTAACCACCTTGACCTACGACATTCACTAATTCTTACCTTTTTACTAAGGAGGTCTCTAGCCTGTTTCTGCACTTGCTCAGAGCAGGCTGAGGCCAAGGGGAGCAGCTCCCAGCTCCTCCCCACGAGCCCCCGCGGGCTGTCCCGGGCCGGGCAGAGCTCAGGTGGCAGCGTCACCTTCCTCCCCGTCAGACACCCGGAGCAGAGCGGGCGCCTTTCTCTCACCCAACACATGGGGAGCAGCAGAAAGTGCAACATGCGGAGCAGTGCCTTTGCTGGCTGGGAGTCAAGTCTCTCCGTTCCATCTCAGAGGACGCTGCCGCGAGCAGAGCCGTCAGGGTGACAGAGCGGCTGTAGACACCCCCAGCCCGGAGAGGACCTGAGGGGGCTCACCCCAAATGGACCGAGGCACCCAAACCCGACTGCAGAGAAGCTGCAGACCTTGCTGGCCCTCCCGCTCTTGCAGGCAATACAAAAGACACCGCTCCACTCTGGTACCAACAAAATAGAAATATTCCAGCCCAAGTGACTTCACTCTGTAGGAAACTGGGGCAATGGCAGAGGGACAGCTCTCTGACTCTGGCTCGGATGGTGACACAGACACTGAGTGGCGGCTGTCAGCTCTCTGTAAGCTGCCTGTCAGCTCTGGGACTCAAAAGCCTTGACGCGTGGCTGTCGCATCCGAACGGCAGAACTGGTGTGTCTGTCTGCAGGATCTGAGCACCAGGCACCAAGATCCAAGTCATCCTGCACAGGGGGGTGTGCTAGGAGAGTGCTGGAGGTTTTAACTTCACAGGCAAGCTCACTGCTGCCTTAAGAGTCCTTGGTTCCTTGGCTTGGTCTTTGCTCCGTTCCTTTGCTGTCTTTGGCAATTATTGTGATTTCGCTAGAGCATTTTGAGATGCAGCAGGAAGGAAGAGAGAGCACAGATTACTAGGTGAAAACAGATCCACTCCTCACAAAAATTTCTGGTAAGCATGGTGGCAAGAGATTATTAAACAGATCAAGAGAATAAACTTCGAACACTTGCCTGCGGCATGGCATCAGAGTGATGTTGAATTGAGGGGAAATGTTTTTATTTTTTGGTGCACAGACACAAAAGCGAGAACACCTTTCCTCCAGGTCTGTTTAAAACACACAGCAGCGTGGGCTGCTCCCTGAGCTTGTCTTCATTCGGATGCTAGGCAGGCACTTCTTTGATACATATCGCAGAGGCCTGATTAAAAGGAAAACACCAGAGAGCGAGTGAAAGAATGCCGGCCGTACTTGAAATGTGGCATGTGCTGAGCCGAACAAGCAGCAGTGCGCAGCGTCGCAACCCTCAGACACGCTGGTGTGACTCAGAACCAGCAGTGTTGTACAGTGTACTTGGTCTGCATCAAGGCAAACACGTTAACGATTAAACTGCGCATCATATACAGGGAAGAGATGAGAAAAGGTTCTAAAATCGCCAGATCACCTTTCTGGTAATTCCATAAACTGTAAACTTCACATCATCCATCTAACTCATTAGCGGAAAGCCTTGGAGAGCACAGATCTTTGAAGGTTCTTTCAATGAGCTCAGAAACGAAAAAATCGGATGTTCCCTGGTTTTGCGTATAATAAACTACATCTTCCAGCACCACCAACAGAACATGCAGAAGCCCAGAAACTGTTTACGCTGTGGAGGTGACACTACCATCCTCCAGCTGTGAATCAAGGAGAAATTATCACATCAGCAAGCTACGTGAAAATCTTTCATCATATTTGAGCCATTGAGTAGCGAGATAAAATCAGAGAACTTTTGAAAGAGATTGCATAAGGAGCAATAAAGCAACGCTGGCAAAAGCACAGTGCAAAGGACAAGACAATGGATTCACTTGGAAAATGCTAAATAATCCTCAATTTAACATAAAAATACCCTAGAAGTTAAGAGGCAGGAATACAGTTTTTAAAAGAATCGTGCACATGGAGACTGACAGCAGAGTCTGAAAACCAGCAGCAACACAGAACCGAGTTCCAAGTCAAGGGGCCTCGGGAAGCAAGAACCGCGCTGCGCTGCCGCCTGCGAGTGCTTTTTGCAAAGACGCCGAGCAAAGGGCGGTGGCGACAGGCGGCAGCTCCCGGCTGGGCGCTGCTCTGCTCCCTGCACGAGGTCCAGAGGGAGATCGCCCAATGTCATCAACACCTGACAGTCCTCACAGGACCGGTAACCACGCAGAGCGGAAGAAGGCAATGAAGACCTCTCAGTAACGCAGAACCAAACGGCCACTGGAGGAACGCACGCTTTCCCCTGAGCAAACTGACGGTCTGGGTCTGTCTACAGCAGGGCCACAAACGCCGGTGGTTTTGCCGCTGCAGTCTCTGTTAAAAAACAGGTTGTAATTTCCTTATCAAAACTTGCCCTGCAAGAGCAGAGCTAGGGCGATACTGAGGAAAGGAGATTCTGCATTTGAACCAGAATATTTGGGTTTCACCCAGGACAAAGCCGAAACACCGTAACACACGTGTATTTTTGTAGCTGCACCTGGAATTGAGGAGCCAGTCAGCGCTGTTTGCCCAAACTCTCCGAGATTCTTCAGAAACATGAGTTCTGTCTTCAGATACTCTGCTTTAGCATCGGGTCTAACAGTCGAGGACAAAAACCATTCACCGGTCTGTCCTGGTAAGCGTCTGGGGGTCGGCGCCAGCCTGAGGCCTGGCGTAACTCCGTTGGACTTTCAACAGTCTGATTTCAACTGATTTGTGCAAAACCCCTTTCAGGCTTTCTCTCAGGGTACCAGAGTCTAAAGGCTCTCGGCATTAAGATCTCAAGGCTCTCTGCATTAAGAGCAGTGCAGACAATTAACATATGACACAGCACCACCTGACAGAACGAGTAGTTTTATAGTAAGCCACAAAATGTCTTTTTTAATGGCCTAGGCTAGAAGGGACCTTAGAGAATCCAGCCTCCCTGTCATGACGTGTCTTCCCACGCAGTGCTTTATAGGTCATTGTCGGCATTAATACAGCTTCTAATTGTGCTGTGGTTGACTTTATAATACAATTAAACCATCCTTAATCTTGCTACTATTTTAGACCAACAAATCTTTGGTGAAAAATACCCTTTTTTTTTGCCTTTGATTTCTAGGACTCATCTATCTAGGGGGCTTTCCTATTACCTTCCTCACACAGGAAGGATTTTGACTTTTAAATAAGCATCTCACTGCATTGCTTGAAATAGATGTGTCATATAAATAAAGATGTTCTGTTAGTGGCAGGGACACACAAGTTGGACAATCTAAACAGACAAGTTATACAGTCCTACTAATAAACCTCTTGCATTGTCATGTACAGTGAGAAAAGTAATACAAGCAGTGTCAAAGATCTTAAATATGTAAATACGAAAGAGAAAAAGAGAACAACTGTCTTTGACAATAGCAGCTACACAAACCTAAGCGAAGATGGCAGACTAATAATTGAACAAATAGATGCATCTCTAACATGAGAGATTTTGGCCTCATCTTCTTTCTTTTAGGGAAGAACTGAGAGCAAAAATTCTCTCTGCGTAATTCCATCAAGTACATGCTATTCCACAGGATCCTGTATAAAGTGGCTTTTCCAACTCAGGCCGCACAAGGCAGAAGACTGCCTATTCTAGAAAAACCTAAATGAAAAGAATGCCACCCAGAAGAAAGTAAATGCTCGGTGTTAAACAAACACCGTAAGCCCAGCAATGGGCTAGATCACCTGAGATATCGGCACAAAAATATTGTTCAGCAAATTATTCTTGGCACAAACATCAAGATTGGTAAATGCCCTGGGAGAAGGAAACACCCTGATGGTGACACCCACTGTCAAAGTATAAATAGGGAGAGCTGGGGCTCAAACCCTGCAGTCCTGAATCTTCTCAGGCTGTGCACCTAACTTTGGGCTTGTGGTCAGACTCTCGCTGCCGTCACCATGAGCTGCGGCACCAAGTCTTCGACCAGCACCACCAGGATGAGCAGCGGGGGTGGCGGTCGTGCCGGTGGTGGGGGCTGTAGTGGTGGAGGAGGTGGAGGGGGTAGCAGTGGTGGAGTACGTAGGTCTGGTGGGTACTCCTCGGTGTCCACTAGAAAATACACCTCTTCTGGCGGAAGTGGAGGCTTTTCTGGGAGAAGCTTTGGAGGAGGAGTTTCCAGGAGCAGCTATGGAGGGGGCTTCAGCAGTGGCAGCTGTGGCAGGATTAGCCGCGGCAGCTACGGTGGGAGAATGAGCGGAGGCAGCTACGGAGGAGGGATGAGCTGTGGAAGCATGGGGGGAGGATACGGATCAGGCGGGGGGGGCTTTGGGGGAATGGGAGGTGGCTACGGAGCTGGCCTCGGCGGGGGTGGGTTTG